GCGCCAGGTTCCCTCGGCAATTCTGAGCTCTGGTTTGAAGGTAAGGGTTCTCATCATAAAATACGATTTTTCGAGTGTCGTTTGTCGATTTAGGACCTGTTGCTGACTATATTCCGAAGGGGAAGACCCTAGATGGGAAGCCGCAGAAAGGTATGACTCCTCTTCGATTTTCAAGTAGAAAATACTCTAACGAGCATCCCACCCGTCACGAAATCTTGGGGAAACCGTGTAGAACGATCCAGACGATGCGCGCTGCTATTGAACGAGAGGCTGGGGAGAATGACACGGCGGAAATCGAGGAGACCGCCGAGGACCCAGCAATGGACGTGGACCAGCTGGAAGCGGCCCAGGCGGCCTTGGAAGCCCATGTCGCATTGTAGGCGGTGTCTTTGTTCCATTTCAGGCGCTTGCTGACCAATTTTGGTAGTGTTTTCGCCGCCTATGGGGTCGAAACCAGCCAGCAGACTGAGATGTCTTGAGATTCTATAGATTGCGCTTCTCGAAATTTCCGCTTATTCTATCGGGGGGATTTGATCCAATTGCGCGTGGAAAAAGAGTGAGGCTTGTGGGTTGCCAGATGTGAGGCTGGATATCCTTTCGCCTGGGCCAATCTGGTCACCAGCAGCCCGACTGAGGCCACGAAACGAAGGGAAATCATGATAAAGAAGAGAAATAAGAGGTTGTGAGGGGTTTTCGTTAGGAGTGTGTCTCGTCTAAATGGTCGCAGTGGTGTCCAAGCTATGAGAATGGGAATAAAACAAGTGAGGAGTAGCCAGTAAACGATTACAGGGAAAGGAAAGTGGAAAGTACTTATATATGCTGCTTCACTGGCATCTATCTGAATGGGGGCGGTGCAGGGGGTTCCAATTCAAATTGTCTGGTCATCGACCGGAGGGAAGCAAGCACCGGTAGGATTTGAATTAAGGTGCAGGACCTTGCAAGGTCAGAGGCTAGGGTTAACACGTCATGCAAAGTTGATCAGTCTGGATTATTATAGTCGCATGGGTCCAAGGGTTCCTTTAACTCATGCCTATTATATTATATGATGCTGTTGATCGTTTCCGATGGATAGGGGCGTTCGATTCAATGTCCGCTCACTCTTCTTTTATTGATCGAAATAAGTCTAAATGGCCGCTCGCATATTGACACATTCTCTAACAGTCTGGATATTCCCTATGTGCGGTGGATTTATCCTTGGCAACATACAGGGTGACAGCGACATTGAGTTTTGACTATTACAAGCTTGAACTGACCGTCTCCCTTTGCATTCTGACGACATGACCCAAATAGCCAGGATAAATGTGACCAAAGGTCTATTTGATTGATACTTCTATTGCCTTCAAGATGCGCTCGTCTTTGGGGCACATGTCAGGCAAACATGGGTGTCCTGGCG